GCCAAGGGAGATGCCAAAGTTGCCTCTGCCATGAAGCCAAGCTCTTCGACGCCGATGATGATGATGATGAAGAACTTGGCTGCCTAGAAGATCCTAGTCCCTACAACGCCAAGGGAGATGCTTTGATCGGCATGATGCATCGGCTTCCTTATGGGTTTGACGAGGTTGTGGTTGGCGATGTTTCGGAGCCGGAGGCATCTGGAAAGTGTGTTGTGGGGAAGGGTGGCCCTGGGGATGTGGCCGTTGCTAGGGACAAGGTGGTGACTGGAGGTGATGTTGTGGATGCAGGCAAGGGCGAGGGGGCGGATTGCCTGGATGGGAACCAAAGCACTTAGGTTTTTGAGTTTTATCAAAATCAATTACAGATTTTGTAGATTTGGGAGAAGGGCGAAACACCTAGGTCTACCTGGGGAAGGAAGCTCAGAATTAAGGAGAAAAAATTGGGAATTTGTGGAGAGAAGTGAAAATTTCTACTGTCGGCTGAATGGGTCTTTGAGTTTTATCAAAATCAAATACAAATTGTGGAGATTTGGGAGAGGGAAGCTAGGGATTTCGGGAGGGAAGTGAAAATTTCTACTGCCGGCTGAATGGGTCTTTGAGTTTTATCAAAAAATCAAATACAAATTGTGGAGATTTGGGAGAGGGAAGCTAGGGATTTCGAGAGGGAGATTTGGGAATACAGGGAGGGAAGTGAAATGATTGTTGCAGTGCGATCAGCTGAAATTAAAAAGTGTTTCAGATACAGTAATCCGTTTGTATAGATATAATCTATACAAACGGATAATCAATTAACCGTTTGTATAAACTTATTCTATACAAACAGTTATATTTTTCCGTTGGTATAGACCAATGTATACTGACTGCTCTAATTTTCTGTTGGTATACATGGTTTTATACAGATAGATTCTTATCCATTGATATAAACTTCCGTTGGTATAAGGCACTTTGTTTGTAGTGGTTTGAGTTTTAAGTGCTTTAATTAGGCATTTTAGAGGGATTTATGTAGTCTTAATTTTATAATTATCTAAAAATAGAAAACATAGCAATGAAATAGATTTACCAAAAAATGAAAAAAGGGACAGGACTAGCTCTTTAAATAGTATTTACTATGGAGTTTTAACCCTTTAAAAAAATTCCTTTTTAAAAAAAAATTGAATTTAGTTAAGTTAATTTTTAATTCAAAACTAATTGAATTTGTTTTTAAAATTAAAACTCAAGATTAAAATTTGTCGAAATAGTCTTATCAAGTAAGTACTACTAAACTAACTCGGTTAATCTCTGAGACAACTTGAAACCATTTCTCTACACTTTCTTTCCCCTCGTTTTTATTGAATTTGTTTTTAAAATTAAAACTCAAGATTAAAATTTGTCGAAATAGTCTTACCAAGTAAGTACTACTAAACTAACTCGGTTAATCTCTGAGACAGCTTGAAATCATT